TGAGTTGAGTTGGGTTGGGTTGGGTTGGGTTGAGTTGAGTTGGGTTAGGTTGGGTTGGGTTGAGTTGGGTTGGGTTTGTTTGAATTGGGTTGAGTTGGGTTGGGTTGAGTTGACTTGGGTTGGGTTGGGTTGAGTTGAGTTGGGTTTGTTTGAGTTGGGTTGAGTTGGGTTGGGTTGGTCAGAGAAGAGACTAGCCTTCATGTGACCTAGTTAGGTAGGTCCCATTATTGCAAACATCCACAGGCACTTCATGAACCATCCCAGTGGGCCTCCTCCAGCACCCAGTTTTAAGTAGGGACTTTCTGATGGGTGCAGAGACCAATTACCATGCCCCTTCTCCCAATTCACAGGACACCCAGATCCAACTGGATGATGCCGTCCGTGTCAACGATGACCTGAAGGAGAACATCGCCATTGTGGAGCGGCGAAACAACCTGCTGCAGGCCGAGCTGGAGGAGCTGCGGGCTGTGGTGGAGCAGACAGAGCGGTCCCGGAAGCTGGCCGAGCAGGAGCTCATCGAGACCAGTGAGCGGGTGCAGCTGCTGCACTCGCAGGTAAGCAACTCCCCTGACCGGAGATAGACTGGACTTGGCAAAGTGAGGTCTCAGAGCCCTTCGTGGAGGTTCGGTTTGGTGCTTCTCATGCTCTATCCACCCTTCACCCCCAGAACACCAGCCTCATCAACCAGAAGAAGAAGATGGACGCAGACCTGTCCCAGTTGCAGACTGAGGTGGAGGAGGCCGTGCAGGAGTGCAGGAACGCCGAGGAGAAGGCCAAGAAGGCCATCACGGATGTGAGTCCCCTGGAGGAGATGCCCTGGCTGCCGCCACGGTGCCTGCTGGTCCTGGTCCAGGCGGCGAGAGTGTAAGGACTTGCCTAGACCGTGTGCGCCCTTCCCCGGCCCCCAGGCTGCCATGATGGCGGAGGAGCTGAAGAAGGAGCAGGACACCAGTGCCCACCTGGAGCGCATGAAGAAGAACATGGAGCAGACCATCAAGGACCTGCAGCACCGGCTGGACGAGGCCGAGCAGATCGCCCTCAAGGGCGGCAAGAAGCAGCTGCAGAAGCTGGAGGCCCGGGTTCGCGAGCTGGAGAATGAGCTGGAGGCCGAGCAGAAGCGTAACGCAGAGTCGGTCAAGGGCATGCGGAAGAGTGAGCGCCGCATCAAGGAGCTCACCTACCAGGTGTGGGCAGGGCAGGTGCTGGGGCCAGGCCCTGTTGTACCTTGGCTGGAAATGAGGGATGCTGGGTCACCAAAGGAGCTGAAGTGTTTCCCCGTAACCTCTTGCTGAGGGATAGTTGAGCAGGGCATCCCTGACTGCCCTGTTTCCTCTGCTCTGCCAAGCCCTGCCCCACCTCAAGTGCCCCCTGGCCAGCCAGGGCCCATCTCTGAGTCTGGGAGCTCCACTTCTGCATCCACCCTCAGCTGGCCATCACCCCCCACCCACACCCACCCCCCGTACCTACTCACAGATCCAGGCAGGGCACAACCTGCACAGATGACAGGAGGCAAACATAGAACCAGTCTGTAGCCTAGTACCATCGCCCCACTCCTGGAGCCTATCCTGCGCCACCCCCCTACCCCTCACCTCCTCACACAGAAAAATACACCCAAACCGTTTAAAACAAATCTCAAAATGTTTCCGCTTCCCAGGGGGAAAGTGTCAATCTCCACTTCCCACCTGGTTTTCTAGACCAAGGCTCTCAACTAAATGTTCTGTCTGCTCTAGTTCAGGACGGGTACCAAACACGCTTCAGCATATGTTGTCCTTAACCTAGACCAGACCCGTGTCTTCTCCACTCTCGCCTAGAAAATTCCACGAAGCCTTCGGTCTCAGAGTTACTCTTAGCACATGCTGGGCTCGAGAGCAGGGGGCTTTATTCCCCCTGGGTTCCCCTATCTCTCAAGGACTTGCTCCCCAGAACAATGTGCAATGTGCACAATTTTGTACACCATTTCAGGTGTCCTACCAACTCCTTGGACTTCATTAAAAAATACCCCTACTGCTTTGGGGGTAAGAAACTCTAAGCCAAATCTGTGTGGGGGGAGGATCAGACACCACAATGAAGTCAAGATGTTTAATGTAGGGGAAAGGAGCTCAGGACGAAGGGTGGGGGGTGGGGGTGCCACCTGCACTAACTGTGCCTGACCACCCTCTGGCCCCAGACGGAGGAGGACAGGAAGAACCTACTGCGGCTGCAGGACCTGGTGGACAAGCTGCAGCTGAAGGTCAAGGCCTACAAGCGCCAGGCCGAAGAGGCGGTAAGTACCCCTGCTGGGAATTGGGGCCAGAGGAGAATGAACCAGGAAAGAAGAAGCCCCTGCAGGCTGGAGGCAGAGAACACCACAGCCTCTCTCACCTCCCCACCCCCACCCGGCAGGAGGAACAGGCCAACACCAACCTGTCCAAGTTCCGCAAGGTGCAGCACGAGCTGGATGAGGCGGAGGAGCGGGCAGACATCGCCGAGTCCCAGGTCAACAAGCTGCGGGCCAAGAGCCGGGACATCGGGACCAAGGTGGGACACCCACACCCCCTCCCCACCCCAACACACCCTGGCTAGGCTTCACCTGTTGCCCCCCACTCCACCAGCTCATGGGTCTCCCAGACAGAGCACCCTCACCCCACACCTTCTTTCCATTCACCCCCTATCCTAAACCATGAAATCCCCATCTGGGGAGCCCGACTTTTCTGGGAGCTCATTGCCACTAACTTGGGCAAGGTAATTCGGCCCTCTGGGCTTTCTAAAGGAGAGCAGTGGGTTACACGTTCGATTGCTCCCTGCGAGGTCAGCAGTTTGAAGCCACCCACTGCTCTGTGGAAGAAAGCTGAAGCTTTCTACTCCTGTGAAGAGTTAAGGTCTTAGAAACCCACAGGGGCAATTCTCCTCTGTCCTATAGGGTCGCTATGAGGTGGAATCTATTTGACTGCAGTGAGCTTGAGGTCTGAGGTTTCTTGGGCTCTCTAAGACTCTCCCAGCCGTAACAGTCAGGGCCATCCCTAGGGGCTCCCACAATGCAAAAAGACCCCGGTTTGCATACACCCAGTGTGTCCCAGATCTCCCTGGACTGTCATCTTCCACTTCCCTTGAACTTGGTTTGGCCTATGACCTTCTAACTCAGCAGTTCTCAACCTGTGGGTCGCGACCCCTTTGGGGGTCGAACGACCCTTTCACAGGGGTCGCCTGATTCATAACAGTAGCAAAATGACAGTTAGGAAGTAGCACCTGAAATATTTTTATGGTTGGGGAGGGGGTTCACCAGCACATGAGGGACTGTATTAAAGGGTCGTAGCATTAGGATGGTTGAGAACCACTGTTCTAACTCAAACCCCAAATGACCATCCCACAGGATCCCCTAGTCTTCATCCAAGTGGCTTCCCCTGGCCCCAGAGCCCTGCCACCCAGAACCAGCCTCTCCACACTGAACCCTTGGGAGACCACCCCTCTCACTGGCACTCGCAGGGGGCTCCCGCTCATCACATAGCTGTCTTCCACCCCACCTGCCTCTCCCCTATCCCCTCTGTCTTCACCCCTTCCCCAGACCACTCCCAGCATCTCCAGAACTAATTGAGCCTCATTTCCTTTCCCAAGGGCTTGAATGAGGAATAGCTCTCCAGCTCACCATCCAACCAGCCTTGAGGGCACCAAGGAGCCCCCAGTTCCCGAGTCTTCTCCAGCAGCTCCAGTGTTGGAGCAGAATAAAGCAAATTGCCTTGAAACCAAGATCTTGCTTCAGACTCTTCTCTGTCTGCAGCCTGGGGGACATGGAGGGTGGGAGGGAGTGGTGTTCCAGGGGAGGAGGAGCCTATGAGGCTGTAAGGCACTAGCAGCTAGCCCAGCAAGCTTCTCTTCCCCTCCTCTGCTCGGAAGGGACCAGAGAGAGGTGGCAATAAGCCTGCTCTACGGCGGCGCTAAGGCCTCCCGAGTCGGAGTCGAAGCAGGTTTAGTTAGAGAGTGCTTAAAGGTCATGGGGAACACCTGAGCCTGTCAGCCACCGGCCTACAGCTGCAGCTCTGACCGGCAGCACCCACCACCACCGACACACCCGGGGCTGGGCCATGGGGAGGAGGGTTTTCATGTGGTACTCCTGATCTTTCTGGATCCTCCTTGTGCAGGTGACGTAATGGCCTCTAAGCTCTGGCCCAAAGGCTCTGAGAAGGCACAAGACCTAGCCAGACACAGCCACCACCATTCCCCCACTCCCACGGAGCAAGGGAAATGTGTCCAGTCTCCTTGTCTTACTCTCCTGGGGGCAGCCCTCTGGGTCCAGGATTTCCCCCGCCCCCCATCACCTCCTCTGTGCTGGCTGGAATGGGTGGGGGTTGTTCTTGAGCCCAGGATGGCAGCCACCTTGAGGGAAGGTCAACAGGAGAGGGGCTCAGCAGTGCTACCGCCACCTATAGGCAGGACTCTGGGATGACGAGGCGCGAGGATGGATTAATTGCTGGAGGACTGGGGGTGTGAAGGAGCACACAGCTCCCGCTTCTACTGACCAGGCCCGACACCCAAGTTCTCACACACACTGCTGGTGCGGCTGCCAGAGCTGGGCTGGATAGGCCTGGTTCTGTGGGCTTGGGAGGCCATGGGATTATCAGCCTCCCGCTGAGAAGCTAGGAAGCCCTACTATGTAGACCTGGCTTGAACGTTTGCCCAGGAGCCCTGGTGGTTTCATGGGTTAGGCTTTGAGCTGTTAGCCGCAAAGTTAGCCGTTCGGAACCAGTAGTTGCTCCATGGGAGTGAAAGAGGCGGCACTGAACCCCAGGGACAGTTCTACTCTGTCTTATCATGAGGTCACTTTGAATCAAAATCGACTTGTTGGCAGTGAGCTTTGAGTGTGGAACCTTTGCACAACCACCCAACCCCACTCTGGGGACGCTAGTATGCGGGTGGGGGTGGGTGGGTGGGGAATAGGACCTACCTAGTGAGGGTGGCCATGGAGGAGAGAAAGATCCAGAGACTGGGTCACCAGAGGAAACAGAGATAAAGACAAAGGATGTCAGAAATGAGGAGGATTCTGGAAGAGCCAGAGGCTCCCCCATCTTTCTCCTACAGCCTCCATCCCTGGGATCACCCCTTTCCTTAGGAGTAGGCTGGTGAGCAGTGAGGAAATAGAGACACACTAGGGAAGGCAGGTGCAGGGAGATCCCAGGGACACCCAGCAACCAGAACATAAGAAGGGGCAAGAGGAAGGCCTGGTGATGGATGGCCGGGTGGGCTGGACAGCCGGGGGCAGACAGCCGGGGGTGGGAGTGGGGGTCGGGGGGCAACGAGGACAGCGGATGCACCGGGGGAAAGAAGGACCCTGAGAGATGGGTGTGTGCCTCGAGAGCAGGGGGAAGCTTCTCTGTGCAAAGGAAAGACTCCTGGGTCCCATCGGTGGACAGGGAGTCAGGAAAGCCCCAAAGAGTGAAACTAGAGAGAGGTGAGCAGAGCCCCTGGAACGTGGGGGCAGACAGAAATGGAGAAAAGTGGGCTTCGTAGAAGACAGGGGCAGCTCTGCAAAGGCTCTGCACTGGGCAGCATGGTGGGCGCTGGGAGAACCAGATCAGAGAAGGGCAGACACAGGCACAGAGGCTCAGGGCACCCCATCCCAGGTGGCTCACCACCCCACTCTCCTCACCTGTGGCCGGCCGGAGTCCTGTGCCCTTACACTCCTGGGGTGGCAGCCCATGAGGAGCTGGTTTGTGGCAGCGGAGAGAGGGAAGGTGCCAGGGAAGAGAAGGGGGTCTCTGGAGGACAAACCAGGCCAGCCCAGGCCAGAGGCAGAGCCTCATGACCAAGTTAATGCCTTTCCTCTCCTCCGTCCACAGGCTTCAGCGGGAACTGCCAACCTGCCCCTCACACCCCACCCCACCTATGCCCGGTCTGGCCTGCTCAGGACAAAGGGCTCCTGAGGACAAAGCCTGGTCTTTGTCACCTGGATCTGACCCAGCCTGACCTGGTGTTCTTAGCCCCTTATCGCACCCCAGGGAGATGGGAAACGGGCAGTGACGCGCTAGGCCGTGGTCACACCCCACAGCCTGAACACTGGGGCCTCAAGTGACCTCACGCTGCGGACAGGTGGCCTGCGTCCCTTGGGGGGCAATCATTTGGCATCTATATCTTTGGGGGGTCATCCTCCAGCTTTGTCTTGTAGATGGAATATGGGGTACAAGTCCCCCCCGGGAGAGGGGACACATATTTCTGAATCCAGTAAAGCATCAGCAGAGGGTCCTAGAGAGTTGGGGGCATTGGCAGAGAACCCCCATTGTCTCCCATCCAGAGAAGCTGATCCCTGTCTATCCTACCAACCTTCACACCCCGGAGCTATATTGAGAAGCGACAGTAGATTGGGTGGGAGCGGAGCTGGAGAGTGTCCCTGGGTGGGGGGGAGGCAAAGCAGGGGAGCCTGGCTTTGTTCCCTGAACATAATGGTCCACTTAGTCACAGCAGGCATGGAGAGCTGACCTGCAGCCCCTGAGGGTGGCTGGGTAGGAGCGTGGGGAGCGGAAGGCCTGCGGTGCTTGGGGCCAGTGGAGAAAAAGCAGGTGTGAGTGTCAGCTCCAGGGTAGAGGGTGGAAAGGGCAGTCCTCAGCATTGTACCTGGAGGGGTGACAGACTGCAGAGTCCCCCCACCCCCACTCCACCCCAACACCATGGAATGCAGAGCCCGGGGCTCAACTGGTGTAAATCCCAGTCCTGCCTGGCACCCTAGTCACTCTGGAGGCACCTGCACTCTCTGGCAGCCCAGAGGGGCGGAAGGGAACAGCTGCCCGCCCCCATCTCCACCCCAGCCCCTCCCCCTAGCCATGGGATGAAGGCCTCCTGTCTCTCCCCGGCCCAGGAGTTGTGTGTTGGGCAAGGAGGGGAAAAGCGGGGGTGAGCACAGGCGGGCTTGTGCCTGGTGTGCATTGATGCACGTTGAAAATCGGCAAGAGTGGAAACTCCCTGCCACTGTCTGAGAGGTGGTCTGACTGTCACAGTGTCAGAAACATCCGGGAGGGACCAGGGGGTGGGGGTGGGGGCATCTGATGTGACCCCCAGGGCAGGGCACCCTCCAGTCCTAGGATGTTCACCTGCCTGGAGACAGGAGGTCTGAGAGTACCAGGAACAGTAGCGTTTGTGGAACCTGAGGGCAGCGAAGACGTTGAGAGAAACTGAGTCACGGGACTGGTCAAAGACCTCCCGCCCCCCCCCCCTTCCTGGGGCCCTCGGGCTCCAGCTCTCGGTCCACAGGCCTGAGGGAGTCCAGGTCGGTGACGGAGGAGATGCTCCTACCTTGGGACTATGTGAGGACAGGCCAGACCGGGGGGCAGGTGAGGGGAAGGGAGAAGGGGGCCCATCCTGTGGTAGGGGAGCAAGGGTACATAGTTGGCCTCTAGGAGAAGGTGACCCTCGCCCAGAGTGCTCAGCTTACCCTTCAGGTTAAAAATAACTGAGGTGAGGGCTGTGGAGGGGAGCGGTGGTGAGAGGAGGTCCTGTCTTCGTTTTATCTGCCCATCGCCCTCGGAAAGCGGGTGTGTGTGTGGGGGGGGGGGGCGGGAACTCCGACTAAAAAAAGACCCTGGAGCAGAGGGGCTGTGGCGACGGCCTTTCATGGGCAAATCTGGGGGCCCTGCTGTCCTCCTGTCACCTCCAGAGCCAAGGGATCACAGGGGAGGAGGAGCTGGGAGGCCAGAGAGGTGGGAGGCAGGGTCCCTCCGGAAGGACTCCAAATTTAGGCAGGGGGTGGAGGAAGCAGCATATAAAGGCGCTGAGAGCTTTGAGGGCAGGCAGACTCCTCTGAACCAGGTAGGAGGGCAGTGGCGACAGGGAGGGGCCTGGCTGGTGCTCTGTGGTCAGCCCCAGAGCTGCATCTCTGGAAGTGGGGTGCAGGTCAGGCAGGGGACTTGTCCACCGGCAGAAGAGAGGTTCCAGGGATCACACAGGAACCACCTTTCTTTCGTCTCGGATCTTGTATTTCTTTCCCGGTGTCTTCCAGCACACTGCATGCATCTCTCTCCTTCCTTGGGAAAGCCTGCCGGAGCTTTGGCCACAGTTATGCACTAGCTGCCTCTGGGCCTCGGTTCCCATGCTTCTCTGCCTCACCCTTCCCTCTGGACTGTGGGTTTTGATCTCTCTGCCACTTTTGGTTTCTAACTCTTTCTCCACATCCAGGGCTCACCCTGTACTCACTCTGCAACCTCTCCGCCTCTCTCTCTCTCTGCTGCTCCTGTCTGCGTGTCCGTATCTGCTGGACTCACCCTGGACTCACTGCCTTCTCCTAGTCTCCTGCCGGCCTGTATTCATTCTGCCTGGGGCTCCTGTTCTCTGCCCAGCTTGTCCTCGTGGCTTCTTGCTCCACCTGTGGTCCAGATTCTGCAGGACTCTCTGAAGAGAGAAGCAGGTGAGAAGCATCCCTGATTTGATTACCTCTCCTGGGAGCCAGGCTGCTGGATGAAGGTGCCCATGGTCATTCCTCGGGACAGCTCACTCCTCCCCTTGGCAAACTCCAGGAAACTCCACCCCACACACACAAGCCCCCACGGAGATTCCCCCTTCCCCTTCAGAGGGCATCTGCTCAGAGGGCAGGGGATGCAGGCACTTGGGTCCAGGAGGGTTGGACCCAGGCCAGGTCCTTGGGTCCATGGGGGCAGGGGGAGAGGACCACGTGGGCTAAGTGGCAGAGGAGAGGGACAGGAGGAGGGCTTTGGAGGACGGTGGCAGCCACTGACTCCTGAGTTCCACCCGGGAGTGACAGAAGCCTCCCGTCTCGGCCCAGAGTGGAACCATGAGTGATGCCCAGATGGCTGACTTCGGGGCGGCGGCCCAGTACCTGCGCAAGTCTGAGAGGGAGCGCCTGGAGGCCCAGACCCGGCCCTTTGACATCCGCACCGAGTGCTTCGTGCCCGACGACAAGGAGGAGTTTGTCAAGGGCAAGATCCTGTCCCGGGAGGGCGGCAAGGTGACCGTGGAAACGGAGAATGGCAAGGTAGGAGGTGGCGCGGGCAGGGGCAGGGAGACAAGGGTTTGGGGGGAGGTGCAGGGGTGTCAGCTGCCGGCCCACCAAGATGAAGTGGCCGGGCAAGAGGGCCAGTTAGGACTCCAGCCCTTCTCATAGGCCTGACCAGGTACAGTGGGGGCACCCAGAGGGGGGCTGGGGGGCCTCAGCTGTGGCCCTCCGCAGGAGAGTCTTAGAGAGGAAGAAGTCCCAAGTCCCTGTCTTGTGTTGGTACCCTTCCCTCTGGGCCTCCGTCTCCTCCATGGCCCATGCTTTTCAGGTGTCCTTCTCCCAAACAGAGCGAACACGCTCCGACCCGCGCAAAAATCAAGAGCAACAACAGCAAAACGTTTTGAGCTGAAGACTCAGGACTGGTGCCAACTGGCAGGCCCGGTGAAGCCGCTGGCCTCTGGCCTGTTCACACCAGCCCTGAGCATTGCCACTGGCCATCAGACCTGTCTTAGGGCAGGCCCATCACACACTTACCGACTGAACTGGGTGCCCCACTCGGGGTGGAACAACAGGCCACACCCACCAGGGACTTTCATTCTGCCCCCAGCGCGGCTGCAGCCACCCAAAGTCTCCCCCGGCTTCCTCTCCCATAAAACAGATGCTGAAATACCTACCCAAAGGCTCGAGGGACATCAGGGCTCGATGCCAGTCAAATCACTCCAACAGTGACCCAGGAGGGTAAAGGGTCGATGAGTGATTTTGGCCCCATGGGTTTGCCCTAAGCAATCTAGGCCTCAGGGCAGCAACCCCTTTTGAACAAAAGCCCATCCCTTAGGGAGGCAGCTTCAGAGTCAGGAGCCAGGTGTGTGTGTGTGTGTGTGTGTGTGTGTGTGTGT